TGGGTCAGTCAAACTATTAAATGTCAGATGAACTAAATTGGCCATAGTGTATGAGTGTGTGTGTGTGTGTGAGAATGAGTGTGCATGGATGTTTCCCAGTACTGGGTTACAGCTAAAAGAGCATCTGCTGTGTAAAACATATGCTGGATTAGTTGGCGGTTCATTCTGCTGTGGCGACTCTTGATAAATAAAGAGAGTAAGCGGAAGGAATTAATTTAATACAGAGATGATGATGCTGGAGCATTTCTATGAAGCACCACTGCAGGGTTTACACTCTTCTTTACACTCCAGAGATAAAAAACGAGAGCAAACAGCAGACAGGAATGGACAGAATGAGTGAAAATGTCCTCCAACCGGGAGAGAAAAGGCAAAACTCTCCCGCTGGCAGAAGCTGAAGCACACATCGATCAGAAAAACACGCTCGCGGTGTGTGAGAGAGAGGTTAATCTGGGCACAGGAGTCTTCTTTTAAAGCCTGCGTGAGAGAGTGTGTGTGTGTGTGTGTGTGTGTGTGTGTGTGTCGGTTTTCACATATATAAACGTTTAAGGAACTCTTGAGAAATGTCACCCCTGGGGCTGACTGTCACTCGGGGATTTCTCGGAGATGCATAAACGCAGACACAAACACACTCGGGTGTGTATGAATACACTCACCGGCCACTTTATGACCTGTTCAAGCACATGTTAAGGCCTGAATGTCCAAGGAAAGCAACTGAATGCATCTGAACTGGTAGACCTGATCAAGAAGATCTGCTGGAGTCCAGTCCGAGCATCAGAATGAGGTGGAAAGGGGATTTAAGTGGCATGTTTGTTGAAGTATTTCAGGAACTGTGGATCTACTTTCAGAGAATGTTTACTGAGAATGGTCTAAAAAGGAGAAAGTATACTGTGATTTCACTGCAAAAATCTGCTCTTCTTGCTTTTTTTTTCTTTGTCTTGTAACTCTTAAATCAAGAAGCATTTCTAGACAGGCAAAGCATATTGTCTTGTTTTAAGAAGTAATACGTCAAAATTAGGTGAGTTTTTTCTTTCTTTCCTTAAACATATTATATAACTTCCTAGGTCAATATTACTTTTAATATTAATATTTATTAATAATATCTAATTTCAAATGTGTTTATTATTAATAATATTTATTGTAAAAATATATTATTTTTATATTATATAAAAATAATTATAAATATTATTATTTAAAATTATTATCAATATTTGTTATAATAAAAATATATAATGTTAAGGTCAACATGATTCTTATTAATTGTTATTAAAATGTAACTGTTTAATAATTTTTGTTATTTTAAAAATTGTTTTAAGAAGTTCGTTCATTTTCTTTTGGGCTTAGTCATTTTATTAATCCCGAGTCGCCACAGCGGAATGAACTGCCAACTTATCCAGCATATGTTTCAAGCAGCGGATGCCCTTCCAGCTGCAACCCATCACTGGGTGTTTTAAGAAGTAATACATGAAAATTAAGTGAGTTTTTTTCTTCCTTTCCTTGAACATATTATGTAACTTCCATTGTCAATATTATTTTTAATATTAATATTTATTAATAACATATCATTTTAAAAGTTTTTTTATTTTAATTTTTATTGTTAAATATAAATATTTTTATTAATTATATATAAAAAATAATAATTATAATTATTATTTATAATTAATAATAATTATTATCATTGTTATAAAAATATTAAATTTTAAGGTCAACATTATTCTTATTAATTGTTATTAAAATATAATTTTTTTATATTTTTAAGAATTTTTTTATTGTTTCAAGAAGTTCATTCATTCATTTTCTTTTTGACTTAGTCCCTTTATTAATCCGGAGTCGCCACAGCGGAATGAACTGCCAACTTATCCAGCATATGTTTTACTTCCTGCCGTAACCCATTCACTCTCATTCACACACACACACACACACACTCATACACCACAGCCATTTTAGTTCATTAATTCCCCTACAGCACATGTGTTTGGACTGTGGGGGAAACCCACACCAACACGGGGAGAACATGCAAACTCCACACAGAAACACTCCTAACCCTGTCGGGACTCGAACCAGTGACGTTCTTGCTGTAAGGCAACAGTCCTAAGCACTGAGCCATGGTGCCACCCAAGTCAAAAAATGTAAACTAATAATAATAATTAATCAAATTAAATGTTCAATTAACAATTAAACAGTTAAATTAATACTCTAAACTCTGGTATAAAGCAACTTCAGGTTGGAGATTTGTTTGTGCACAGATGTGCTTTTTGTTTTGAGTCACTGCCGAGAGAAATAAAGCAGTTCTAACCCAGCAGGTGGACTTAATAAAGTGGTCGGCGAGTGTGGAATAATCGAGTGTAGTAGTGGATTATTGAAGTGTATGAATAATGCATGAGAGATTTTTTTAAATGGTTTGTTATAGGTCATTTATAAGACTCCGCCCACCCTCATTTGCATTATGCACTATAAAAACAGACCTCACTGATCTGCGTAAAAGCATCTGCTGAATGAATGAAATAAAACTGTTAAAGACCCAATGAAGAGCTATTCCGGTAAACACAGGGGAGTATAAGTCAGACGAGGGCTGGATAATATATGGCTGGTATTTTAGGAACAAGAGAGAAACACTGAAGACGAAAAAGGGAGATGATTTCCTTGCCCAGTCTGTGGGCGCAAAGCAACACAAGAGAAATGAACATAAAACTCTGCATGTGTGTGTGTGTGTGTGTGTGTGCGTGCGTGCGTGCGTGCGTGCGTGCGTGCGTGCGTGCGTGCGTGCGTGCGTGCGTGCGTGCGTGTGTGTGTGTGTGTGTGTGCGTGCATTTCTCAAGGAAGGTAGATGACCTATACATGAGTCAGAAAAGAAATCTCTTTCTCTCAGCCTACTTCTTTAAACACACTCTCAGTCAAGTAAATCTATGAAACAGAGGAGAGAAGCGCACAAAAGAAACAATATAATGAGACGTGTGTGTGTTTGTGTGTGTGTGTGTGTGTGTGTGTGTGTTTACCTGCAGATATGCAGTTTTCGACAGCGTCATCTAGAGCAGCTCTTCCGTAGGTTTTCCTAAAGTTCATTATGATCGCTCCGTTCCAAAACCCAGCGAGCGCGCTTTGCCATCCGCCTCCTACATAGTCAGCTGTCTTCTAAGATGACATCTTGACTGAGATTGAGCCTCGTGAGTGGCAGATTTGGAGTGTTACTCAAAAACACACAATTTGGGAACACTCTTAGGGAATTTATAATGCTGTCAACATTTCACAAAAGGGCGTCACGGTGGCTCAGTGGTTAGCACTGTGGCATCACAGCAAGAAGGTCGCTGGTAGGAGTCCCGGGGTTCAGTTGCCATTTCTGTGTGGAGTTTGCATGTTCTCCTTGTGTTGGTGTGGGTTTGGTGCTTCAGTTTCCCTCACAGTCCAAACATATTCATTCATTCATTGTCTTTTGGGCTTAGTACCTTTATTCATCAGGGGTCACCACAGCAGAATGAACCGCCAGCTTATCCAGCATATGTTTTACGCAGCAGCTAGAATGGCATCCACTGCCACCGCCTACCGCGTCACCTTCACTTTCTCCTGTAAGCATATATTTGTATTAATGGTTATTTGACCTCATCTGTTGGACTGATTTATTTAGGCCAGGCACATTGGGAATAAATGCCACAGTCTACGTTTTTGCGAAACATAGAGTACGTTGCTTCAGATACGTGTTGTTGCATGTTTCAATTGACATATCCACTAGAGGGCGCTGTTTACTTTTTGGCAAATCTGATATATGTTACTTAAGGTGCAGTATTATACTTCGGTTTAGACCTATATGTATCAGGGGTTGCCACAGCGTAATGAACTGCCGACTATTCCAACAAACAATTGAAGCCAAAATTATTAATTTAATTATTTTTAATTATTTTTTTAAATATTTTTTAAATATTTCCCAAATGATGTTTAACAGAGCAAGGAAATTTTCACAGTATGTCTGATAATATTTTTTCTTCTGGAAAAAGTGCAGCTGGAATAAAAGCAGATTTATATATATATTATACTATCAAAATAATATATATATATATATATATATATATATATATATATATATATATATATATATATATATATATATATATATATATATATC